CTAAGTTTTATCATTGTGACTTGGGAATATAATCCGAAGCTCCGCTCAACCCCTTGGGGAAAATAGTGTGATACTATGAATATTGTACTAGAGTGACCCGTGAGGTGCGGATGGTTAAGTAAGGTTATACATTTTTTCAGTTGGTAAATAGATAGTTAGTTGGTTATCAAGTTTTTCGAAGTTAAATTTTTGAAGTCTTATAATAAAAATATACTTACTGTTACAAATAATGTAGAAGTGGCTTATTTTAACGAAATTGTTTTATTCTACTTTTCCTTTAGAATTCTCAAGAAATATAGAATAAAAATGATGAATGACAGAGGAATAGATAATCGGACATCTGTGTCTACACTACACTGCGTTACAGCGTATAAGTATAGAGAAGTTACAAAATGAAGATGTGAAAGAGAAGTATAAATGTAGACTGAGAGAAAATATTAGGTGTTTGAATGAGTTTTGTATGAATGATTTAGACTTGAATACTGTTTGGGATAATATTAAGGAAGGTTTGGTGGATGCAGCCACCGAAGTATGTTGTGTAAGTAAGAGAACAAATGAAAGGAAAAGGAATACGTTGTGGTGGGATGATGAGGTGCGGGTGGAAGTTGAATCAAAGAAGAAAGCATGGTTAGATTTACTAGCAACTAAAACTGGTAATTCTGGTGGTATGAATGATGAGATTGAAAGAAAAAAGGCAGAATTTAGATGTCTAAATAAGAGAGTAAAAGAAGTAGTTGAAAGGAAAAAGAAAGAAAGAACGGATAAGAATGATAGAAGGATATCTGATAATTTCCAGGCTAATATAAAAATGTTCTGGAAACTCGTAAGAACTGCCAGGGGAAATACAAAACAGCCTGTAATTAATGCTATAAGAGACGAGAATGGATGTATTCTGAATGATAAAGTTTCGAATTTAAACAGATGGAAGGAATACTTTGAAAGCGTGTTTATAAGTGAAGAGTCGTCTGAATTAAATGAACAAGAAATTCCGAAAGAAGTGGAAAGGGGTATGGAGATAAGTGTAGATGAAATAATGAAAGCAATGAAAAGCATGAAAGCAGGTAAGGCAGCTGGATATGATAGAGTATCACTCGAGATGCTAAGGGCTGGAGAGGGAGTGGTGGCAGGCCTGCTGTACATCTTGTTTAATTTATGCTGGGAATTAAAACGGGTACCGGATGACTGGTGTAAAGCAGTTATAGTACCAATATATAAAGGAAAAGGGTTACAGCAGGACTGCAAAAACTACCGTGGTATCAGCTTGCTTAGTATTGTGGGTAAACTGTATGCTAAGGTGTTAATTGAAAGAGTTATGAAAGAAACTGATGGAAAAATTTGGGATGTGCAAGCGGGTTTTAGGAAGGGAATGGGGTGTACAGATCAAGTCTTTTCCATGCGCATGATTGCGGAGAAGTTTTTGGCTAAAAACCAGAAAGTTTTTGGTGCGTTCATGGACTTGGAAAAGGCTTATGACAGAGTGGACAGGAATGTGTTATGGCAAACACTGAACTCATATGGGTTGAGCGCTGGTTTGATACAGGCATTGAGGTCTCTTTAAAGGGATTCTAGTGCTTGTGTCAGGATCAATGGGGTCTACTCGGACTGGTTTGGCATCCGAAAGGGTGTCAAACCAAACAGGGCTGTGTGGCTTCCCCTTGGCTGTTCAACCTATTTATGGACAGATGTTTGCAAACTTTGAAAGATGAAGAATGTGGGTTAAGAATGGGCGAGTTAACCGTCAAATGCCTTTTGTATTCCGATGATCAAGTCATATTTGCGTCATCCGCGGCTGAGTTGCAAATGATGGTTACATTAATGAACTGGGCATTAAAAGAAAGGGGAATGAAAGTGAACGCAAGTAAGACGAAAGTGATGGTTTTTGAAAGAGAGGAAAGCAAAACGGTATGTGAAATAAGAATAGAAGGAGAGTTAATTGAGCAAGTGGATGAGTTTGTGTATTTGGGATGTGTATTTAGCAGGGATGGTAGATATGATAAGGATATAGAACGACGAGTAAATGCAGGGAATAGAGTGAATGGGGCACTACACTCTATTGTGAAGAACCAGAATGTATCAAAAAAGGCACGTATGGTAATTCATAATGCTGTGTTAGTCCCTACTTTAATGTATGGTAGTGAAAGCTGGGTGTGGCAGAAGAAGCACGAAAGTAGAATAAATGCTGTAGAAATGCGGTCTTTAAGGAGTATGCTAGGGTTGAATCTGAATGACAGGATGAGAAATTACATGATAAGAGATAAATGTGGTATGCAAGATGATGTTGTGACCAGGATTAAGAAAGGAATGCTTCGGTGGTTTGGTCATGTAGAAAGAATGAATGAGGAAAGAGTGACAAAACAAATTTATAAGGAAAGAGTGACAAACAGATGTGAACTGCAGAGTCGGGAAGGGACGCCCTAGAAAAAAGTTTATCGACCAAATCAGCGATATTTTGAAAATGGGCCACGTTAAAAGTACCCTTAACCGACGAGCATGTATGCGTAGATATATGGATGTAAAGGAGGCGAAAGAGGTATGTCAGGATCGTGTCAAATGGAAGTCCGTGGTCTCTGCCTACCCCTCTGGGTGACAGGCGTGAGTGTTTATGCTTATGCTATGCTATTTTTCTTAATAAAAACTGACTGAAAAAGAAAATGCGCATTACTATCTACTATCTACGACTTCTGCTTTGACTTACCTTCAAAACTTTTTCGCATCCAGCAACTAAACATTTCGAAGTCTTATTATTGTCGTCAAGACTAAAATATCTATAACATTTATTAATTCTTTTACGACCCATTTCCAATATATATATATAGTTACTAACTAAGTGTAGTTAGAACCAAATTTAAAAAATAAATCAATCTAAGTAGTATATTATTTATCTAGATATAATTATTAATACGTCGCAATCGCAAATCGCAACTCACAAGTGGTTGATATTTGTTATAATATGCAAATATTCTTTCATTTTACAACGTTGCCAGTTCGCTTTTGGAGAGCGTGAGGTGCGGGAAATTCCCCGTCCGACTGAGCTCCCAGGCCCCACCCATTTCGTTAGTCGGCAGATTCGAGCGCTTTCGAAAATGATTAGGTTTGGCAACGTCGCGTATTTATCGTTACAATAACGTTAACTTGACTGTCTCAATTTCGTTCTGTTACTCCTAAAACGTTATACTAAAATATCGAAAATGACAGGCTTGCTGAAGTAACGATACCATTATAACGTTATCATAACGTTAAAAATTCTGATATTTATAACGTTTTAAGTCCCTGCGCTTTAACTTCCGAGTCTAGTTGCCATAGATTAGTGACTATGTACTAGAGTTGCGTTGAACAATAATATACAAAAGTAACAGTCAAGTCATAATAGTAATTTATGACTTGACTGTTACTGCCAGTGTTGCCATATATACAGATTTCCCCGTATTTATACAGATTTTCGGTGTGTGATACAGATTAGCACTGGGTACAGATTTTTATACAGAGTTTTCTAACTCTATTGATTGGATTACCATAATATTCAACTTGAAATAGAATGAAGCAAAATAGGTGATTAGATACCGCGTTACACACATTCATGATTCTATTCTTTATGGTTAATTTATTTTTTCACAACGTAATTAGTAAGTATGGCAGAATTACGAGTGTATTACAAAATATGTATACAAGGTGTAAGTGTGAACACCGTTGTCACTAAAACCATAGGTAGTTGGCTTTAATATAAAAATATTTATCCGAATTCTAAAAAACCCTATTTTCTTTCATAAAGTGTAAGAGGTTTCTGTCCGAAACCGTCGTAAATTCATGGATACCCTATGCGCCCGGGTGACGTAATCACTGTAAAGATCACCGCCCGCGCTAGCTACCTACACTATATTCCAATAAAAACACAATAGGTACACACAACCTGTGATGTAACTTTTCCTTCATACTTTCACCCTGGCTTAGGACAGGCAAAATTGAGGAATTAAGGTAAAATTGAGTTTTTACTAAAAAAAAAATGTGTTATTTTTCATTGAATTTACGTTCTATAAGTGAAACCAAACCATTGGTTTCAAGTATAACGGTGTTTACACTAACGCCCTGTGTATAAAATATGTATGACTGAAAATAATAAAGTAATTATATGTTCATTTGGCAAATGTTTGAGTTTTAATATGTTGTTTGCTTAAATTAATGTTTTCAACTTTGCTATATAAAAAAATAGTGTATAGTGTATATTTTATACGTGGTAGAGCCACGTTGCAGCACTGCAACCATAATAGCTGACGCTTGACCGGGGAAGGACCACGCTCTCACAGAATACCAGCGTAAAATACCAGCTTAATACTGCTGTGTTTCGTATGGTGAAAGTAGAAATCCGGAGACCCTTTTTACTGGAAATGAGGCATCCCCTCTTGGTCCTCAGGCGTAACAACGCATCTGCGTTGTAATTCTTAAGCGAGGATAGATGTAGATGTCTATGGGAAACAGCAGCCACTTACCATCGGTGGACTGTGTACTCATTTGTCACCCTTATTCTATAAAAAAATATTTTTATTTAATTACGATAATCAAACCTTATCTGCTTATCACGTTAGTAGTTATTCCCTGTTTTTCAAAAAAGCGATGTTGATTATGATGATCAATTATTCTATATTGTTTTATTAAATTATACAGATGTTAAGTTTAAATAGCATACAGATTTAATACAGATTTTAGCAGTGTCTAATACAGATAAAAGGTTCAAGACATCTGGCAACACAACACTGGTTACTGGTAACATTGGCCAAATCAACAAGCGGCCGTGATAATGTCGATTTTTTCAAATACATTACAAAAAATTATTTCATAAATAAATCTGCTATTTTAATTTAATAACACCTATTTAAATTTTCTAAACATTGTTTATTTATCTCATAATACAGAAATGCGTTAACTTATAATATCATTGGAGTGACAGATGTTTCAGTGCTAAATCGCGCCAGATTTTGACTAAAATTCTCATTTAATTCTTTAAAATGGAACAATCTTCTGCAAATGATATTGCTGAAGTTGGATCTACAAGTCAAATACAAGGTAATGATATAGTGTCCGCAGATCTTAGGTTTCGGTGTAATTTGCATTAACCGACCAAATCAAGATTCCGTCATAATATCTTTTATTGTTTGATTAGATTTACTGCTACGATTATAATATCAACAAGAAATAATATATTTGTTATGCATAAAATTTTACTTTCATAATATTATACAAATATTTTATTGTAAGTTTAATTTTTACCTCATTTGGAAACTGACATGTAATTTCCTATATCCATTATATCGTAAATATACATACATATAGTATAGTATACAAACAGATATGTAAGCAAAATGCAAAATACTAATTAGTCGACTTGATCAAGGGCATCCATCTATCGTCTAATACTCATTTATTTTCTGTTGAAAAATAGTAGTTTTTAGGTTAATTTTACCAATTTGCTTATTTTATACATTTCTTATTTTATGCAAATGATACTGGGATCTATTTAAAAAAATGTTGAATTTTTATATAAATTTTAGGGAAAAAGAAGCTAACAGTCAACCAGATGGTAAGTGATTACTGGAGGCCAGAGATATGTATTTTATATTGGACTAGGCATATTGTCCTGTAGGTGTTGTATGTCCTAACCTCACTTTATAATTTAATATAATTACTACCGATATATTTTCCTACCTAGTCACATCCCTCATTATATAAATCTTGAGTCTAATGTAACATAATTTAGTTTACACTCCTTTTGTACATATTATTTGGTTTAATATCCAATAATAATGTAACTACAGTAGGTGTTTGGTAATCTGGCACTCACTAATCTGAGATGTTCAACAGTTCTGCGCCAATAGGCCAGTAGTAGCTGGCCTATTCTGTATTCTGGTGGTTATATTACAAAAGCGCCCCATCACAGAGTCAATTCTCCAGTCCAGTTCAGTTGCAAGAAGCAAACCAAAATTACAAGTTTTTCGAAGAAGTTTTGAGAAGTTTTGTGAATCTTGAGACATAACAAATCACCAATATTAAGTCAACAATGTTATTTAGTTGTTTCTATGAGTAGGTATTATAACATATACTAATAAAGATTTTTTACTTTGCAAATGTTTTAAAATCTGGTAATCCAGCGTTTATGATAATACAGCATTGGTGAAAAACAATGGGTAATTAGTAATGGTGTAATGGGTAGTAAAATTTGTGAATAACTTTGTAACATTATGTAAACCCGTCTATGAATACTTCATTGCTAATGTTAGCCTGATAACACTGTATGAATTTAACAAAATACTTGATGCTGGCAGAATCCAAAAGATCTATAGCCAATTTCAGATAAGGAAAGCTACTGATATTTTGTCATCTTTTCAAGATAAATTTAAGATGAGTATGTTTTAGTTTTAATAGTTTTTTATTATTAGCTGCTGCTCTTTCTTATGATGATGTCTTATTTATAGGCTAAAAGTTTTTCTTAATAATGATAATTGTCTATATGTTTCTTGTGTATAATTTGCAGTAGTATTGGGCTCAGCTAGCAGTGAGTGTACAGTCCATACGGATAATGAATGGGATTAGAAATGGCTGCTCATCAAGCCCATACTGTCAACATGCACAATACCAATCATAGAATACTATAATACACAATAGAATGGCTGTCAACCTTATTTTGTACCGAGGTTCGGCGTCGCCCAGAGCACACATACAAGCAATATGTCGTATTATCAGTTAATCACTACTACAAACCCGATTCACTGTGTTGACAGATGGATTTTAATACATATTTATTTGTAAATAGTGTGCAGTTTGCATTTTCCAAATAATTTGCATGCGAAATTTGGAAACGATTGTAATGTGAAAACACATCTCATGTTGACGTTTATGCATGTGAATTTATGTCTTGTGGCATTTTAGTGCTACACCGTTCTATTATGTATGTATTATAGTATTCTATGGTACCAATAGCGAAAACCTGATGATTATATTGTTTGGTTAATTGGAAATTTTCTATTAATGGGAAAATATTGAAAAAGATTTGTATATGCATGTAGGTACATGAATTTTATACTTACATTTATAACTGGTAACCAGTACTGGCTTCGCCTGGATGTGATCTATTAATGTGGCATTTTTTCCGGAGGCGTGGAGCAGAAGTGCGGTGGTCTTGTTCTTCAAGAATGGTGACAACGCCCTCTTGAAGAACTACAGACCAATATCCCTTCTGAGCCGCGTCTACGTGCTGTTTTCGAGAGTCATTACGAATCGTCTCGCACACAGTCTCGACGACTTCCAATCTCCCGAACAAGCCGGTTTCCGAAAAGGCTTTAGTACCATGGACCACATATATACCCTTCGGCAAATTGTACAGAAGTCCGAAGAGTGCAATCTGCCAGTTTGCCTGGCGTATGTGGACTATGAGAAAGCCTTTGATTCCGTCGAAATTTGGTCGGTGCTGCAGTCTTCTGCGGTGCTATGTTGACTGTTGGTATATCGATATGCTGAAGTTTTTGTACAGTAGAGCTACAATGGCTATCCGAGTACAGAACCAGAGTACGAAACCTATCCAACTGCAGAGAGGTGTAAGACAGGGTGACGTTATTTCCCCGAAACTCTTCACCGCTGCATTGGAGGATGTTTTCAAGCTACTGGACTGGAAAGGATACGGTATTAACATCAATGGCGAGAACATCACTCACCTTCGATTTGCCAACGATATAGTCCTAATGGCAAAATCGCTGGAGGACTTAAGCACTATGCTCAATGACCTCAATAGTGCCACCCAACGAATAGATCTTAAGATGAACATGGACAAAACAAAAATCATGTTTAATGTCCATGTCACACCTATGCCAGTAGTTGTAGGGAGCACTAAGCTCGAAGTTGTTGACGACCGAGAGGTCAATCGACGGATTCAACTCGGCTGGGAAATTACAACGCATCTTCTCGTCAGGTACACCTCAAAACCTGAAAACTAAGTTGTGCAACCAGTGCGTGTTGCCAGTGATGGCCTACGGAACTGAGACGTTTTCCTTCACTGCTGGCTGTATGAGGACGCTCAAAGTCGCTTAGCGAGCTATGGATAGGGCTATGCTCGGAGTTTCTCTGCGTGATAAACTTAGAAATGAGGATATCCGCAGTAGAACCAGAGTGACCGACATAGCCCAACGCATTAGTGAGCTGAAGTGGCAATGGGCCGGCCATATAGCTCGAATAACCGACGACCGTTGGGGAAAAACGGTTCTCGAGTGGCAGCCTCGTACCGGTAGGCGAAGTGTGGGGCGACCCGCCACTAGATGGATTGGTAAGACATGCAGGAAGTCAATGGTTGCAGGTGGCTCAGGACCGTGCTTTGTGGCATACCTTGGGGGAGGCCTATGTTCAGCAGTGGACTTGTGAAGGGCTGTAATGATGATGATGATGATGATTTAGACTTAAGATAATCATTAAAAACCATTTATTTTATCTTATAAATATTTTAATCAAATGTCTAAATTTTTTTGGATAAAATGTAGTCTAGATCACTCTTAGTATTATTTTCTATTTGTTCGTGAAATTACTATCAATTCAAGAATCTTAATTTTGATTCAGTTTAAATTTGATATTATCTCTGAATACTGGCCTTAGATGAATTGTCTCACCACCTGTAATTTATTGTACAATACTGTCTATCTATTACTTTTCAAATGAAAACATGGTAATGCATTACTGCTGTACTTTTAAAAAAGGTTCAATTTGTTTTTCTATTAAAACTTTCTTCAAATAATTGATCATGACATCATAATTTTGAGTAATGAATTAAAACTCATATAATTTCAGATCCGGTTGCACAAGAAAAATCGGAACCCATTGCAGATGAGGTCACTACAACCGTTGACACTTCCCAATCATTGTTCCCGGAGAGTCCAGTATATGAACCTGAATATGATCTAGTAAACCTTGAAGAAAATACTGAGGTATTTAGCTACTAGCTGATGATGATAATTAATTTGCAATAACAATTAAAAATTTTGTACAAATGACTTCAATATCGATAAATTGAGAACATCAATGTAGTCAAACTCAATTAAATATGCATTATTAAGGATAATATAGGACAAAAACTAATAGTCAGATCTTGGTCAAATTTTTATGGGACCACAAGAAAAGCACCAGCTTTCAAATAAAAAGTCATCAAAATTGGTTCACCTAGAACAAAGTTCTGAGCTAAAATAAAATAATACAAAAAAATACAATTGAATTGATTACCTCCTCCTTTTTTTGAAGTCGGGTAAAAATACATAAGTCATTTTCTTGTTTGTCTGTCTGTCGTTCTGGGTGGAATATTGCAGCTCAAATTTCGAGCACGTCCTGAAGAGCTTGAGACTTGAAATTTGGAACATAACTCAGAATGTTTATAGTACAAAAGTTAAAAAAAATATGAATGAATGAATATACTTTTATTGTACACCACAAACAAATATACAGATAACAAAACAAAAAGTAGATTATATGTACAATTTGGCAACATTATCGCTACATAGCAATCTCTTCCAGGCAACCAAAGGTGTAAAGGAATAGAACAATGAAAACTAGGTAGGCGATGCAATATAAATATACATAAGAACATATAAATAGCTAATACATGAAGTTATATAAATTACTAATACATAGTAAAAAAAATAAAGTAATACATATAATATACATTCATATAAATATACAGTGGAATCTCCATAACTCGAATGTCAAGGGAAATGCAAAAAAATTCGAGTTAACGAGTTTTCGACTTAACAAGAACTTCGAGATACATATGATTAAGTAAGGGGCTATAATTATGTTAGGGGGTATAATTAGGTTAGGGGTGAGGGACTGACAGAAACTTATTTATTCGCTACCTCTGTTAGAAGTGTATATCTACCACAAAGACGGTGAAAGTTGATTTGTGTACTTCCTATTTTGTAACGTATTTTTGTTGGGTTGACTCAACCGGGGAAGGAACATGCTCTCACTGAATTCCAGCGTAAAATATCTATTTTATAAGTGATTTAAAGGGAAACTATACTTCGAATAGCCTCATCACCTTCACATGATGTGTCTTCGTCTGACGGACGAAGGAAGCACCTACCTAAAAGAAAGCAATTACAAAACTTTTTTCCATCCATCCATTACAGCCTAAAAAGACCAGTGCTGAACATAGGCATCCCCTATTGATTGAGGGGATGCCTATCCCTATTGATTTTCCATAGAGCCTATCACGAATTCATTTGGGATGGTTCTGAGCTAACTGAAACATCAATATACTTCCTGCATCCCTTACCAAGCCGTTACTCCATCTAATGAGAGGCCGCCGTACACTTCATACCCATGACAAACTGTGCGAATATGAAAGTCAAACTTCAACTGTAAGAGGTACTGGCCGTATAAGGTAGCCCAAGATAGATAAGGGCCACTCAGCGAGCAGGAAGAGCATCATGGGTATATGTAGTACTCTCTGAGAGCTATGCTCGGAGTTTCTCTGCGTGGTATATTTCGCAATAAAGATATCTGCAGTAGAACCAAATACAAGCTGACGTATCACAATGGATCAGCAATAGAAATTAATAATTAAGTACAGAATAGAAACAATATGCATATTCTGGCGAAGTCGGATAGGTAACCACTTGTTTCGTCAGAGAAATTGGGAAATATGGTCAAATTTGCGTATTCGAAATATAAACCGAATACTAGTGTTTTAAAGTCTGTCAAGCTTATTTAGCTGGTCCTCAGATTACTTGTTTATTTAAAAAAAATTATATGATTGTGTCTAGTAAAATGTTCTGTTCTTAAAGTCACACATCATTTGCCAGATTTGGTTGAAATTTAAATTATTAATTTACAAATTATGTGATTGAAACAAAACAAATGAGACTGTGCATATTCAATGCAATGTTGTAGAATTGTTTTTTTTAATACTTTATTAATTTATAAGTAGTAGAACCCTCTATTCTGAAAGAACAATGGCGAAATAATATTTGATGGAATTATTAAGCGTCTCCTAAGTCACCATTACAAATATCAATCAAATAATTTACTTTATGTTATCTAATCAAGCTTATGGCCTATCGAATTCTGGAAAAAAATCATCTTACCTAATTTAAAACTAAATTGACTAGTTGTTGTGGCAAATTGTTGATGGAATTATTAAGCATCTACTAATGTCACCATTACAGATATCAATAAAATAATTTACTAAGTATGTATTATCTAATCAAGCTTATGGCCTATTACGATTAGTCAGTTAACACAGGCAATGATCTTATACCATACAGCTGAGTTAGACGTATTTTATTCAAAAAACTCTTCTATATATACTAATGCGTTCTTTAAGGATTCTCTCTATGCTAGTAATTACCCTATATAAACATATAAGAAAATTATATTGACTAGTTGTTTTGTAACGATTTGCCAATTAGGGCGTTTTATACCATACAGCCTAGTCTGATGTATATTTTGTTTAAACTGGAATATTTTTAATTCCTGACTTCCTGCAGTAGTATGACCGAAGAAAAAAATGTTCAGGATTTTAAACTATATTTTTACATATTTTGCATTTGTAGACGCAATAAAAAAAAGGCACATAAAATTTGTTTGAGAGTTCGCCATTGTCCTTTTGTACACCAGAAATGGTTGATGTGTTGTACTATATTAAAAAAAAGTCATAAATACACAGTTTATAGAGTAGTTTAGGCAGATATACATTTCACAGAAAGTGAAGTGTCTCTATGTAAAATATCGAAATATTTATTTTATTTATGTATTATTTGCATAATTTTTTATAAAGTTTTAGTATAAACTGCAAAAAAATTATGCAAATAATACATAAATAAAATAAATATTTCGATATTTTACATAGAGACACTTCACTTTCTGTGAAATGTATATCTGCCTAAACTACTCTATAAACTGTGTTTTTCAACTCTTTACTGATGTGAAAATTACATCACCAAAATGGAAAAAAATTTAAATCAACATGGACTACATTACAAATACAGTACATACAAATAATTAAGCTTAATCTAGGTTAATGTTGTAAATTATTTGCACTACTTTGTTAATTTGGATTTTATTCATATACAGATGGAAAGTAGTACTTTGGAAGAAGCTGACCTTAAAGGTATTAAATAAAAATAATAATTTCATAATAAAATTCCACACAGTGGATTTAGTGGATTAGCATTGCTTAGTAATTGATTTGATCTTTTTCCAGGTGGCCAACCATCATCAGTAGTTAAACGTAAATTATCTGATGAATTTCCCGACAGCAAATCAAAAATACAAAAACTTGAGACCATAGACATCAGTGAAGAAAATACAGTATCTTCTCAAGCTTTAGATCAAGAGGTATCTGAAATTACTAATGCAGCAAAACGAAAGATAGAGGATGAAATACCTACCACCTCAAGACTGCGTACTCCAGTGCGATCTAGTCCAAGAAAAATAACTAAACGTAGTAATAGTGTTGAAATTAGCACAACTAAGACACCAAAGACTCCTAAAAGACCAGCTAGTGTAGATATAACTAAATCAGGTAAAACGCCGCGTAAGGTAGAAATCAATTTCAAAGAATTGAAAACTTCAGATACAGTACAAACACTTAGTTCAGATATCTCTAACTCCAGAGCGAGTGTAGAATTTGTTGCTGAAATACCACCTGTTAAAATACCAGACACTATTGTCGAGGAGGTTTCTGATTTAAATGACTCTCAAGACTTCCATTTAGCTCTATCGCCTACTTCTGATGGAGAGGGGACAACTGAAGAGAAACCCAAACATTACAATAGCGATCCAGTTATTGCTAAAGATAGGGATGAGATATTAGATGCGGGGAAGATACAGCAAACTAGAAGTGAAGGTTACAATTATTCCGATTTGAGTAGCAATCTATCACAACTTCTGCCAAAGGATTATAATAAAGGAAAAACCACTGATCAAGAAAGCACTGATAGTGCTTGTTCTGTAGTTCTAGATAGCCCCGATCATGTACCCACTGTAGCATCTAAATTGATCTCTAAACTATCTAATGGGAATTCTTCGACACCGACTGAAATAGCAGCAGATGTGAAACATAACACGGAGGATAGTGATGGTACCCCAGATTTAGTTAAATTGAATAGTAGGAATGAAAAGAGGGGCAAAAATGAGTCCTTCAGAGTTAGTAACACAACTACACCATCGACAATTTCGCCTTTACAAAATGGACACTCTTTGCCTGTAAATACGCCACACATACCTGTCTTTGATATTCATGTGGGTCATAATGAAGATTGTGAATTCCTATCTTTATACGTCGTTAGGACGGATAATGATTTGGGAATGGACATGTGCAGAGAATACCAAAAAATTTCTAAGAGATTCACTATTGACCCTTATTTGGCCGACGTTTCCATTAGCAATTCACCATCTAGTGTTACCAGTGTGGGAATGATTAATCTGCCAAATAGAATCTCTTTCGCATCTGCAGTCAGTTCTACATCTTCTACTTCTAGTAACCGAACGAGTGACGGCGCATTTGTTGTACCACAACCACCACGAAAATCTGTATCAAATCCAACTACCTCGGTCAAAGGATATGATGCTTTAATGAAAAAGCTCCAAGAAATATTTTCGCATATCCGAGACGCGTCGATTTACGAAGGGAATCGTTCACTTGGCGAAGATAAAGTATCTATTGGAGTACAGACATTTTCTAATTCAACACAGGTTAGCAACGGTAATGCTAGTCCAGAAGAAGTTAGTAAATGCGATAAAGCGACACCGAAGAGCTCGCTGAAAAAAACTCGTGTCAGAGGCCGGAGACACATGGCGGGTAAAACTAAACGTGCCCTTCTTCCTACGCAGACAGAGGAACCAGAATACATGCATGGTATGAATTCTCCCGAAATGGTGCCAACAAATGGGGACAGCGGCAAGATGTCCCCAGTCAAATCTCCCAAAGACGATAAACCTCTTTCGTCGATAGTTGGAACTCCTAAATCCATTAGCAAATTAAAACAGAAACGTCGACCCACCTCCCCGAGACCAGCTACACCTGTAGAAAAGGCTGTAGTCAAACCGGAATATCCAGGCTTCGCTCCCGATACAGTGGTACTAGCGAAATGGGTGGATAAACGTTACTACTCGGGAAAAATTCTAGAGATTACAGACCTAAACAAATATTTGATCAAATTTGATGACGGACAAAGTAAAGTGCTTTTAGATGATTTTATAATATTCGGTGATATGAAGAAGCTACCACTTCAAGGCCAATCAGTATACGCTTTAGTAGATGAAGAACAGAATTACGAGCCTGGATTGGTTCTAAGTGTCGAGGAAAATGACAATGGCACTGTTACTTATAGATGTACAACAGATGGGTAAGTTTGGATTTTTTTAAATATAAATAAGTAAAAACAGCTTTTATAATTTTAATGGAAATATTTTGGTTAAGGGACTTGAATACTACCTTCTGAATCTCATTTGAATTACAGTCAATCAGGGTAACTTTGACAGATCATCACTCTATTTTTGTATATAACTTTTATTAAGTTAAATATGACACAAAAGAGTGCATTTACTCTGTTCTCTCACGTTCGTTTTCATACTCTCAAAGTATTTAACATCTATAAAATTCATACAAAATATCAAAAATTGGCAATTTTGTTGTGTCAAAGTTATAACCCCTATATGGATAACTTTGATACAGATGAGATATGTCGCAGGAATCATAATTTTCAAACATTTTATAGCTTCAGGGTAACATTAGCTTAAGTTTTTTTACAAATTTCAGATGTAGTGGAGTCAGTCAGTAAAAAAAAACATAAATTTGTATTAATATCTTTATTTAAACTCTTTGGTAATCACCATTAAAATTCCTCTTTAAAATTTACCACTGCAAAAAGACAACAGTTGCACACGGTACCTTAAAATAAGTTTTTGAAGTTAACTTCGTTTGACAGCTACTTTTTTTCTAGAGAGTTCGTTTACGAAGTTTGTTAAGTACACGAATTGTATAAATTTAATGTTATGCACTAAATGTTGTTCGGATAGTAAAATAAAAAAGTATTTTGCGATTTGACTGTCAAAGTTGCCCTTGTTAATCAAAATTACCCTGATTGACTGTAGTCACAGTTATTATTTCTCAGAAAATCCAAATTACGAATTACCTTTTAATTTTATCGCGGATAGGTTAGGAATTAATGTGTTTTTGCTAACGCGTATACTTTATGCACTTATAATGTATCCTTTTTTTATGAAAGGGTAAACGAGCACACAGTCCACTTTATGGCAAATGGATGCTGTGGCCTATAAAAATCAACATTTATCCTCTATTAAGAATCAAAATGCAGATATTGAATGTTGTCACCCCTGAAGACTAAGATGGAATGCCTCGTTTACAGTAAAAAAGGGTCTCCAGATCTCTACACTTACCATATGAAACACAGCAGTATTAAGGGCCTATTTAAACTCCTACTAAACCTATGAATATTTACTTACAAAACATGTTTTTGTCCTCAGTGATACAATAGTTATGGTAACTGCCAGTGAACTGTATCTAACTGAAGACCAGGCTCGATCGCTAAAGGAGTCCTCGCGGCCTCGATCACCAGCCGCTCCAGCAACTCCAAGGAGACGCCATAACAGGGAATTGGATTTAGACAACATTATACAGGTAATTTTTATTCCATTACCTATAAATAAATGTATGCCTAAAAGTATTTACTTTTATTCCCAAACGTCCCCCCAAAATTCCGCTAGGGCAGTGAGGCAGTCAATTTATCTTATCTTAATAGAGAAGTTGCATGGTTTTTAGTTTTATTTTTTTTTTTTGAACGCTTATAAAACTTATTAAGAAAAATTATAACATTTTTTGAACAATTGATTTTCATGTGTTGTGGTTGTTTTTCCTAAAATGTAAATTCAAACGCCAGTGACGACATTATACCGCTTTAGTAACGCCAACGCATGGTGAAATGATAAAACACTCATGTTTACTTTGTCAAAATTAAAAAAAAAAACATTGCGTAATACAGGTTTAACGTTTTGTTATGAGTTATGACACATGTTGATTCAAATATAGAAAATACAAAAATATAGCATGATTGCGATTGGCTCACAATATCAACAGATATAACGACGTCACAAGCAATCATAAGTAGTTTTTTTTATTCAAACATTAACTATTTTTTATTAATAATTACTAAAAAATAAAATTTGTAATAAAAAACTATTTAAATATAATTCAAATGAATTATTCTTTCTTTCATTTTTTTGTGGCAAAAAAAAAATGAATACAACTTCTCTATTATCATGGTACACAAGCAACCTCGGTGTCTTCCGTCACTTGTCTAAAATTTTGGCCGGAATAGAACATATTTAATAACATGGTAAAGTTGCTTACAAACACTTATCTTGATCATCTTGAATCGCTCATAGTCAAGGTATAAATGATAAAGTTACAAATTTGAAGACATGAAAGTATCACTATTAATAAAAAAATACCCTTTTAGGGTCCTCGCAGTGCTCGATGTCGGGACAAGGGCAACTCCAGTACAAGAAAACGGGTCACCTCCCCTAAAAGCCCTAAAGCCTCTACATCTGGTATGTATACATGGTACTTAAAAGAGTCTCACGTAGCAAATTTGCTGATTATCACCCCTCCCTCTTTTACCGACCACCCTAGACGACGACGCTCTAGAATGCTCAGTGATTTTAGCCAAGTTAACTTTCTGTGGTTATTAAATATATAAAATATAAAACGTAAAAAACTATAAAAAGAAGAAAATAACATCTCAACATTAAGTCGCGTGACTGTCACGTTGATTTTAATAGTTTTATATTAACATTAACGATTGTAAACAGTCAACTTGGCTAAGCCCACAGAGTCTATTGAATTGTGACGTCATTACGCTATAGGTGAACCTGTACTGTACCGCAACTTCTGAATACTGTCGATGTCGGAAGCTATCAACCGTCCTATAGATTTATTCATTAATTCACTACAGCCTATCAGAAATCCACTGCTGAGCGTAGGCCTACCACATCTGGTAGAGGGAATCCTTACTATAGTTGCTCATGCTCATCACTCTTATGAGGTGGTTTGGCGTCCACAGTATCAAGCACATGTCAACTCATCAGCAGTCAACTCCAAAGAAAGGCAACAGATGTGTTGTGATCTATGAACTAAGGCGGAATGTCTTACAGCCTTGTGATTACTGCCTATTTATATCCTATAACCCTATATCCTTCTGACAGGCACAAACAGAATAGGTAAAAGCCAGGTACCTGCCCAGATTGACTCCTAGTCAGAAAAATAGTCCTACCTTTTTAAAGTGAAATATTTTTAAAAAACTAAATCCTGCTGGGTTTCTTGCTGGTTCTTTCCAGGACAGAGATATTTTCCGAACTAGTGGTAAATAAAAAGATTACTTTTAATAAATGTTATGTAATAATCTGTATTGAATAAAAATCATTATATTCTATCAGCTAGTAAAATAGGGGACTTGCAATAATTAACGAGGCATTCGGGCCACCATGTGATAATTTGTTTCACCATATTACAAACGTTAGTCTTCCGTATTTCAGGTGTGAAAACAAAAAGCACTCCAGTGGGTGGACGGAAACGCCTAGCAAGCGAGAGTAGCGAAATAAGTGAGAGTAGCAACTCTGCTCCACCGACTCGATTGGAGGAAGTAGCTGGCGTCGAACCTGAGGTTCAGAAGACTCCGAGGAAGATTGATGGGGTTAAAGGTAGGTGTTTTCAAGAGTATAGTTGCCGTGTAATAGTGGCGTAGAGAGTCCACTACCCCATAGCGCCATGGGTGTCGTAAGAAGGGATAGAGGGAAATGAATAAGGAGCCAGAGTTGAGTGGCAAATATACCAAATTTATTTATTTAATCTTTATTATACACCTTATATACTAAGGGATATAAAGGGTGGACTTAATGCCTTATGGCATTCTCTGCCAGTCAACCCTGGATGATTTGAGAAATTGTGGCAGGTGTAATCAATCACTTCATAAATAAATAATAAGGATATAAAACAAAATAAAATGCAAATGAATAGAATATGAATATAATCAATTTCATCGATAAATCATGTCTCAAATCTCATTTAGACCTAGCTGTATTTAAATGGCAGCCATTTAAATTTTTCTGTGTCACCACCTCGACCCCGAGCATTAAAATTACAATATTCACTATGTAGAAGTCCTACATTCTTAAAAGATGTCTCATTGGATAGATAAAGATACGCGTAATAAAATAAAATCAAACTTTTAACTGCAAAATTGTATTTAGATCCTAAAAAAGATTTAGAAAAAGAAAAAAAAATTAATCGGTTATTTTTTCACATTTTCGACTTAAATGAAAAAATTAAGTCATTTACATAATGATTTTTTACATTAATCAGATAGATTAGAACATATCCTAACCAAACACATAAAAATCTTAATTGTAACCAAAAAAAATCAGTATTATAACTGTTTGAATATGACCTTTGAAAAATTTGTCGCTCTGGTTGCAGACAGACAAAGTGAATTGATGAGAAGAGTGAAACACAACATTTCAAAATGCACGTAACTAAAAAGTTATTTATAAAAACTGTTCGAAATGACCTCCGCGATGTTGGAGACATGTTGTAGCCCTTATTGCCACATGTTGAGTTGAACGTCTGATCATCTCCCGATCTTGTCGCAATTCATTTCCAACTTCGATTATTTTATTAATCAACTCTTCTCGTGATGTTCGCATAAACTCTTTGCTTCATAGTGCCCCATAGAAAAAAGTCTAAGGGAGTTAAATCCGGTGAACGCGGAGGCCAAGCGATCCTTCCACCGCGACCAATCCACGGCGAATAGCGCTCATTTAAATAATTTCGCACATTTACTGCAAAATGTGCAGGTGCACCGTCAAGTTGGAGAATCATCCTTGCTCTGTGAGTTAATGGAAGCTCCATTAATTCTTCCAAAAACTGTGTTTGTAAAAACTCTAAAAATCTTGGGCCATTCATAGTTTCTGGTAAAATTATCGGCCCAATTGAAATATCGTCTTTTATTCCAGCCCAAACGTTCACTCGAATTTCATGTTGGAAAGTACTTTCTCTAACAGCATGAGGTTTGTTTTGAAGCCACAGATGCTCGTTACGGTGATTTGTATAACCCGATCTCGTGAAAGTGGCTTCGTCAGTTCACAAAATTCTTTTTAAAAAAATCTGCATCTTCTTGTCTTGTTCTTCTATTGATCCACGAACAAAAAACTGCCCTTATAGCATAATCAGGTTCGCGAATGTCTTGTACCCGCCGAAAATGGTAAGGATGCAAACCTTCCCTCTTTAAAACTCTCCACACTGACCATTTTGTTAAATTAAGCATATTGCTTATTCGTCTTACACCGAGTCTGGGATCTTGTGTAATTAAACGTAATATCTCTTCTTCCTCCTCAGGTGCCACAAGCCGAAATCTTTCACTAGCGGGTCTTCTGATCCCAAGTTCAGCTATCCGCAAATGTATCCTTACAAAATTGCGAGCATTTGGTGTAGGCCTGTTGGGAAACATTCTGGCGTACTCTGTGACAGCTCTGTTTGCGTTGCCGTTGCACAATCCATACACAAAGTGGATATCAGCGACATGCTGGTTTGGGTATTCACCATCTGCCATTTTTGAAAATATCAAAATAACTAGAAACTTCACCACAAACTTAAAAAGTTCCACAAAACGGATTTTTTAAAAAAATACGAACAACAAGCGATCTTAGAGGGGCAAAAGTGGTGTAATCACAACGCGTGGCGAGGGACGACTGTTTTTGTTGTCCCAAGTACACTTGTTTAGAACATCAAACAATATGCTTTGGGTTTTTCTACCTGCTCTTGAACTATCATAAATGATCCTGCACGTGCAGCTTGCGCTTTTAAGAGGTCGTGTTTGATAAAGTACAATTCTTAAACTATTTAATTTACAATTAAGATTTTTACGTTTTTGGTTAGGATATGTTCTGATCTATCTGATTAATGTAAATAATCATTAGGTAAATGACTTACTTTTTTCATTAAAGTCGAAAATGTGAAAAAACAACTGATTTTTTTTCCATTTTTTTCTTTTCTAAGTCTTTTTAGGATCTAAATACAATTTTGCAGTTTTGCTTTTTGAAAAGATAAAAGTTTGCTTTTATTTTATTACGCGTATCTTTGTCTATCCAATGAGACATCTTTTAAGAATGTAGTACTTCTACATCGGTGGGGTCGAGGTGGTGACACTGAAAAATTTAAATGGCTGCCATTTAAATACAGCTAGGTCTAAATGAGATTTGAGACATGATTTGTCGATGAAATTGATTATATTTTATAGCATTAAAAGCTCCGACACCGGTAACCTATATATATAGTTAGTAAAATATACATACTTAATATATAATATAGGATAAATAATAAATATATAAACGGGTAATTATATACAAAACTATAAGTAAATAAAATATTATGAGACAAAAATAAAATAACACAATACATATTGAAATACATTATACAAAATATTACTTATAATAGTGAAACAGAGAAAAAAAAACAATAGTCGGATAGTCAGGTGGTAATAATCCTTACGACAGAACTCTCGAACTAGTCTTTTAAAATAATTCTTGTTATTAGTTTTCTTGATATAAACAGGCAAGGCATTCCAGAGCTGTATAGACTGTACAGTAAAAGAGGAATTAAAGAAACCACTCCTATGTGCTGGAATACGAATTTTAAGACAATTTTGGGAACGGGGAACTCTATCGTTAGTAGAATACAAATATTGAAAGTTATCAGTAGTTATATAAGTATAAGATAAGAGGGAGAATTGGGGACATTTAAAATTGGATGTAGTACTTGCAAAGTTCGGGAGCTACGCCTTTGACGAATAGAGAGCCATTTAAGCTTAGATTGGTACTGGGAAATATAGTCATACTTACGTAAACCGAAAATGAATCTAATGCAATTGTTGAGAAGGCGCTCCAACTTATCGAGAAGATATTGAGATAGATCTGGGTAACACACATCCGCATAATCAATAATGGGTAATATTAAAGTCTGGACTAGCAGAAGTTTAGTTTTAAAAGGCAGAAAGTTTTTGAGACGACAAAGAGAATGTAAGGTGGCAGTTACTTTACGGCTTGTTTCGGCAACTTGAAGTCCCCAGCTTAAGGTTTGGTCTATATGTAAACCAAGATTTTTTACAGACTTACAAAATGGCAACAACGTTCCATTGTAAAATACGGGAGCAAGATTATCGTTATTAATCTTAGCTAACATTCTGCTATCAAATTTGCCTCCTATGAGGAATTTTATCGGGAAGGCCTATGTATGTTTGACAGTGAACTTTTGGACAGACTGCAATGGATGTTTATCGATTATGATGAATTTAAAACAGATATTATGCACGAGTATGTATGAATTATTGGAAATTTTATAAATGCTTTCATACTCTAAAAACTTCACTTGTATTTAAAGGGTGTATTACATATATAAATTGCAAAAACATGAAGAGAGCCAAACCTAAAACTATTATCTCAAATATACAAATACTCATTTCCAAATGATGTGAAACTTATATATATATATATATATATATATATATATATATATATATATATATATATATATATATATATATATATATATATTATATGTGGCGGCGCTGTCGTCGCGCCACAAGCGAAATACACCGAAGCCTAAATCACGCTATCAACATTCCGAATCATAAACAGTTTATATAGAACATCTCCGAACTATCACACGGAGTGCGCCGCGGCCGCTCCCCGGGCATAACACCTTGTCCGACGGGAGATCTCCCCTTTTCCTTCCTCACCAGCCACAGTGGTGACTAACCGACGTGATCTGAACACGCAACCAACAACCTTCGGAATCTTCAAGCTTCATCATCGTCATAGAATACCCCACCCATTCGCTCCCGAGCAGATATCGTCTGCAGTCTTCATATCCTGCAAGCCATCTAGCTTCACAAGGTTCATCGCAGCACTGGAATAATAATGCTTCCTGTTCCTTCAAGCTACTCCCTGCGCCATACAGTGTTCGGCACGGCTCTGAGCCTTACTGCTCGCCTCTGCTTCACGGCACTCTCGCAGATTACTTGCTTCTCGACTCACCGCAGACTACAAGGCAATCTCGTGGCACTTGCACATTCGTCGACAACGAGACTGCACTATCGACCTCCGGTCTGAGCAGGGGGTGATGTGGCGGCGCTGTCGTCGCGCCACAAGCGAAATACACCGAAGCCTAAATCACGCTATCAACATTCCGAATCATAAACAATATATATAGAACATCTCCGAACCATCACACGGAGCGTTGGCCGCTCCCCGGGCATAACAGCTTGCCCGGCGGGAGATCTCCCCTTTTCCTACCACGAACACATATATATATATATATATATATATATATATATATATATATATATATATATATATATATATATATAGCTAAAGTAGTACTTGAGTCCTTTTTTTATAGCATAATATAAGTCGTGGTAGAGCCATTCCGAAATTATATTATGTGAATTTATATTATGTAAAAAAAGTGATATACACTCTCTAAACACTAGGAATAAACACAAGCTAGTGATACCAGTTTCTCGACTCCACAGTCAGTAATTCATTCTTAGGGCAACGCATATGCTATTACAACAAAGTCCCAGAAAATATACAAGGTCTCTCTATTACTAAGTTTAAATATTTAATTAAACAAAAACTGTATAAGGTGTTATTATAATATAAATTAATACTTGGTTGATAATAACCCTTGGGAATGAGGTGGTCGCTTTCAAGCTGTTTCTTAAATAAATTTTGTAAATATCTTGTAACCCTTCATATTGTAAAATTTATTTAATAAAAATGTCTTTTTAGTAAAATCAACCGTAAAACCAATATTAATGTCGATTACAGTAAATCCTCGCAATCAAAGCGCCATGACCAGAAGCCGACTTTCCTTAGCTGATGAAAAATTAGAGAAGAAGAAAACTTGCAAAGATCCCTCCCCTCTTCTATATAAATAAGACCATCTGTAAAAATATAAAAATATTAAGTATTTATGTATTCATTAGAGCAATCGAAAGCCATTGGTAGTGCCTCATAATTTTTATTTTAAGCTATAGAACCAGTCCACGGGGAAAAAAGCATTAAACTGTCCCTCTCCTACCTGTATCAACTGCAATTCCTCATCTCTCATCCCGCCTGGAAAAGTTTCACAATGTTTTTGTAAAAGTACCCAATAGAAGGGCTTCGATCACTCACATTTAAAAAATGTAGGCTACGTACACAAATGCTATAATATTTTTTTAGCATTGCACATTGTCGCCTCTTATTATATCTACGGGACGACATCCACATGGCAACATTCGGAATATGATTTATCAAAAATCTAATATATAAATCACAATGGACATAATTTCCATGTCTCAGCCGGTCCGCTGCAACTGAAGGGTGCGGCAAAGCAAAATATCGGCAAGAAAAACTCGAAGCTCACGAAATTCGAAAACGATGTGGACACCGTGACCACCTTAGGCCCGATCCCGAGCGGGAGCAAGTTGTTCGAGGGTCAGCACTTCTTGCTCACCTGCACTGAGCCACCTCGACGGCAACGGATGCAGAAGGTACATTCTTAGAAAATTAACTATCAGAAACCAAGCATATATATAATAATAATAATAATGTTTATTGCAAGACAAAATATGGTACACACTTTCTAATCTTAAGATTAAAGTTTCGGGTAGAACAAACATTTTTAAAACAATAGATAGAGAAACTTGTATGCATAAGATTTTGTTCCAATCGAACAAGAAACAAGTTTCATCACTAAAACTGCGAACATTTATTAAGAATGTGTGAATTGTGTATTTAATAGTACAGAAATTTGAAATTTTAATTAAATAAATCTTAATATTTGGAAAATTGGAACGAAAAGTGTACACTAAAAGATAAAAATTGCTAGCTAAACTAGACCAAGCCTGTGTCTTAAATGCTAGTTTCTCCCTTAAAGTAAATTAACATAGAAATACACACTTGAACGCTTTATAAATTAATACTTTTTAATAACGTGCTAATAGGTGCTTATTTAATATTGTTTTATTTTAATTTAAGTTTTAGGACTCAGCTCATTTTTTTATTGTAAATAGATCTTCAATGTCGTCATGAGTTTGTGATTTAGGCCAAACTGTCGACTTTTTTGCAATTGTATTTACTAAGCGGATGTATATTAATCATTCGGTTAATTTTATTATATAAAACATTGAAACTTTTTAATAAAGTAAGTCCTAAAGGTAATATTGGGATCACTCTGTCCTTCCTTCGCGTTTGGGGTTGTTTTGGGTCGTATCGTATTTATGTGCGATACTATGCAGTCTTATTTAGTAGTTCGATCATTTATAAACAGACCTTGTGTGGCATAAACAATATTAACCATCTCCTTGCATAGAAATTGTATGGTCCAGAAGATCTGTCTGATCCTATGGCTTCTGATATATGCCATAGAATACATATTAGAATGTAGATTCACAATAGAATGGCTGTCAACCTTATTTTGTACGACGATAGGCGTCGCCGGGAGACACACATTCAAGCAATAATGTATTTTCACTACTACAAACCCGATTCGCTATGTTGACAGACAGATTTCAATACATATTAATTTGTAAATAGCATGCAATTAGGCATTTTCTAAATAATTTGCATACGAAATTTGGAAACGATTGTAACGTCAAAACACATCTTGTGTTGACATTTATATGTGTGAATTGACGTGTTAGTGACATTTTAGTGGCTACACGGGCTCCGCGTACTCCCCCGTTCTAGTATGTATGTATTATAGTATTCTATGGTCATAGTAATACCATTCTCATTCTGGTGAGGCAGGCCAGCAGTGTCAAAAGTGTATTCCAATCGGATTAGCTATCATAGCAGTAGACATCTCGCATCCACCCCTGTTAATTAAATATATTTATGAAACAAGCATTTTTGTAAAACGTAATATTAACATGTATAAATTCGTGGAAAGCCAACGTCGCTCAGATAAGCTTCATTTAGTACCAATTAGAACTGTTTTATTGCAGAAGAGTATATATATGTGCAATGGCACCAAAATATATAACAAAATACCTAAATACATTAGAGATTGTGACAACATTAATATTTATAAACGTAAACTTTTTGATCTACTAAATGAAAAAGCATATTATTCTTTAGATGAATTCCTTAACAACACATTTTAACATTAAAATACTACATTGAATATATACCTATCATGACATGTGCCAATTAACACTAAATGACAATTAGACAAAATGATGACAATTATTATATGCTATAACTTTATTATCTTTAAAATTTTCTTATATTAATACGTTATTTAATTGTTTCAATTAGAAACTGAACATCAGAAGAGAAAAAAAATATTAAGCAATTATTATTTTATATTTTGCATGCCTACTGGCGGGACATGGAGAACCTACCTTGTATTGTACTATGACATATATTGAGATCTGTAAAATAACCTATGTTCACAAAATAAACTGATTTGATTTGATTTAAATAAACCACAGTATGTGGTCTAAATGTGAAAAAATTGAACAACATACAAATTAATTTTGTCTTATTTTCCTATCATTTATCTTTCTTAATCTTGTCTCAATAGATCATTGGTCGTAGTACTGGAAATTGCTTCAATACTGCTGCAGTTTACATCTAATTATATCTATAAAAAAAAAATATTGACTAAACTTCACGTCATTTATCATTCTTAATCTTGTATTAGCATAGGTCAAGATACAGTATTGGTCGAATCTTAGTAACTTTATTGTATTTCTGACAACCTCTTATGTACCATGTTATTGTCACCATTTTCAGTTCAAAGAGAGTCGACATTATTCTTCCGAGGAAGACAGCGAAGCAACATCCGCCTATGTTGGTACTGATACTGAGGATCTGGTCTTCTGTGATAGACCATTCAATAAAGAGCGCCTTAAAGAGCAGTTGGAAGCAGGAGGTGGGATTGTACACAGGTATATATTATTTTGTATTCTTATATGTAATGCTTATTGGCTGCAAATGCAAGTACATATTGCACTTGTTAGAAATGCTTTATCAAATATTTAACAAAGCCTTCTTTCCTGATTCTCAATCTTGATTATAAAAATCATGAAGGTTAGAGAACAGGAGAATGATCACCGTAGAAAATAGTGTCCCAGAAATATGGACACCATAAGTGAGGCGCTGTGATTGCTCGATGTTCGGTCAATAAAAGTCATTTTGAGTCTATTTTTCCGATCAGATGCTAAACCACTTGCACATCCATGCACAATAAAATATTGCTCCATTTTTTAATGTTTCTTTTTGTCAAAAATTACAAAATTACGGTGCATGAAAAATTTTTCACCAATGCCGCAAAGAAAATTTGTACATTATTCAACTAACTTCATCTACTTGTACTCATAAACAGCTAACTTCGCAGTCACTACGCACCGATGTCAGCGCCGCTACATTCCACAATTTTCAAGGATAGACGGGCTATACTTTAGTACATAGTGATCGTTCTCCTGTTCTCTAACCTTCATGATAAAAACTGTCTGTGACACATTCATCTAGTGGTCTCAATTGCAGCTTGTGATCATGTGGTCCTGAACCTGGGTTCTATTTTTTGGAACCTCGGTTCGGGTCTATATTCGTCATTGTGGTTTCTATCAAGAAATTCGCAGTAGCATTCTACAGTCAGGAAGTTGCCGCTGTTTCACCCCTTTAAGGCACGTAAAGCCATTGGTCTTACGACTGATCTCTCTCCGTGACTGATTACTGTCTCATTGGACTATGAGTGAGGGAATAGAGAGTACTATTTTTTTATAGGAAAAGGGTGACAAGCGAGCACACAGTCCACCTGATGGTAAGTGGTTGCTGTGGCCCATAGACATCTGCATCTATTCTCGTTTGCGAATCAAAATGAAGATGCGTTGTCAGCCTTGAGGACTAAGATGGAATACCTCTTTTCCAGTAAAAAGGGTCTCCGGTTTTCTACACTCACCATAAGAAACTCACAGCAGCATTATGCTGCTATTTGACGCTGGTATTCTGTGAGAGCGTGGTCCTTCCCCGGTCGAGCCGACCCATTCGTGCTACAACTATACAATTAATATAGCTGCAACATGGCTCTACCACGTAAAAAAATATAACCCTGTCCTGCGCAGATGGCTAGTTTCCGTTGAGACTGGTCGTCGTGTCCGATATCCGGAGTGGCGACATTATCACTATTATAGAATAATTATCGATTTTATTAATGATGTGCACAAAAGCCTTTTTACAAATATGTCGAAATGATTTTTTTATTAAACTGTGGCTATGACAAAATTAAAAAAAAAAGTGTAATTATTTGCTGTATTTATTTTATTTAAAAACCTTAAATTGTTGATATTATTTGCATGGCTTAATTTGTCTAATATAATTTTTAATGTGTATTTCCTTTCAGCCACTTCGATGATGTGCCAAAGAACAAATATTCAGTATGTAAATTAATAGCACCGAGGCCATGTTTGACTGCAAAATACATACAGTGTTTAGCAGCAGACATCCGAGCACTGTCCCACGGCTGGGTCATCATGAGCTGTATCAGAAACTCACCCCAAGACATGGATGCCTTTGCTCTACCAGCCGGCTGGTCCATACTACAAGAGAAGTTTATGAATTGGGTATGTATTGAATAAGGATTATGATGTTGCCTTATGAAAGCTCTGAGAATAAATATGGGGAAAAAATGTTCTTAAGTAGCATCCTTGTACTGGCAGGCGAAATGTAGGGTGACCCACCAGCCCACCACTAGAAGACATACTGGTGGCGCAGTACCTTGCTTTGTGACACACCGTGGGCGAAGTTTATGTTTAACAGTGGACTTGTGATGGGGGTTAATAATGATGATGATGATTATGATGCTTACTTAAATTACTTCTGCAGACTGGATCAGAGCAGTACAAGCACTGCTATTTCGCGGCAAAAATAGGTGTGGTACCTATCCAGACCGACTCTTAAATGGAAAAGAAGTCATGGTAGGATTCCTTATTTCATTCATCTTTCTTTATATATTTAATATAAAAAAACATGCGTGCAGATCACACGCGACAAAAGTGAAACATTCAAACGAAATAAAATATAAAATACAAACTCTTGATTTATTTAATATTATAATTTAAACTACAAGTTCGGCATATAATATAAGATTTAAATTTATTGACTATAAAATTTGAAATTTAATTTTATAGTAAATAAATGTAACAATCCTTTTAATATGTACATTAGACACAGATATTATATTACTCTTTTCGATATACCTTATATAGTACTCACTAATTACAAAAAGATTTATATCAATTTTACCTATTACGAAGTTGAGGTTTGGCCGTTCTTCACTGCTTGTTTAATCCATAGGCACACGACACTTTCGTACCACAGTTCTTACCTTGCTGACCAAAACGCATTTTTTCTCACGAACATTGAGCTATAATCTATAATGCTTCCTATGTCATTTTCTCCCACGTTAAATCTTATGAATTTATGTGTCTGTCTCATTTTACTGCTTTTTCGACACATCCTGTTTCAAATTGCAACGATGCTAAAGAAGTTTTCACTTCAAAAAATTCTCAGTATTTGCCCGGAGTCAAGTAGATGGCGGTGTCTCACCCCCTTCATCGGAAAGCACGTAAAGCCGTAGGTCCTGCTCCTGATCTCTCTCCGGTTGTGTCAGGTAAAAGTCTTCTGCTGGATGAACACATCCTGAAATCATCGATATTTGCAAACTTATTAAGATAAATTATGTTTGCAGAGTGCATGTTCTTACAATAACTTTAGCGTGGTTTGGCTTGGTTTCGATATCCCGTGTCCTATGCAGTGCTCCATATATGTTTCTTTGTTAATCTGAGATCAAGACACCATTTTTTTGGTGTGTTTATGTCAATTTGACAAATAAATTCAATGGTATTCAACACCAAACTGTTATCTGCGTAGTTCAGCCTGTATTGGTGAGATTAATCTGTATATAAACTTTTAATAGTCCACCCAATGGTAAGTGACTACTGCAGCACTTTTAGATACAGTAACCAATGTTTACATGGTAGAGCCAACATCATCATACAGCCCTTCACAAGTCCACCGCTGAACATATGCCTCCCTAAGGAATGCCACAAAGCATGGTCCTGAGCCACCTGCATCCATCAACTTCCTGCATGTCTTACCAAGTCTTACTCTCTTGGATTGCCCTAAACTACGCATACCGGTACGAGGCTGCCACTCGAGAACCTTCAATTTCAATTTCAAATTGTTTATTGCTTCTATAATGTACAGTACATTAGCAGTTACAGTGACCATTATAGACCCTGTCGGGCGTTGCAATATACAAGAAATATACAATATAATAATTAAATGGACTTATAACTATGTAACATCATTATATTATATTTGGCTATTTTGAAAATAAAATTTTATTTAATACTTAGTAATTAACTATCAAAAAATTCAGTGAGCGTGTAAAAGCATTTGGAAATAAGATAATCATGAAGTTTTTTTATTGAATGAACTTAATTTAACTTCAGCTTTTATATTTATGGGTAGTTTATTGAATATTTTAATTGCCATATAATATGGACTACAATTGAGCATTTTGGTTCTAGATGGGGTTAAATATAACCTATGTTTATGCCTAGTATTTACATTGTGTGTATCTTTTATCTGAGTGAAGAAGTGTTTATTTTTAAATACGAAGTTACTTATATCTTTTATGTAAATAGAAACTGAGGTTAATAATTTAAATTTAATGAAGTAGGGTCGACAGCTATGTCTGTTATCAATTCTGGCAAGTATCCTAACACATGTTTTTTTGTAAAATGAACAATTCATCTGCATTAACACTATTACCCCAAAGGATAATGCCATATTTAAGCCATGAAAAGGCATACGCGTAATATGTGGAAGGTGCAGTTGCTAAATTTGTGCTATGATTAATTTGATAAAGCGCATAATATGTAAATTTAGAGAGCTTGCATTAAATTTTTCCAATATGCGACTTCCAGTTTAAATGTACATTAAGTAAGTAAGTACATTAAGTCCAAGCAAGTTATACGAGTCTATCTCTTCTATTAGGGTATTTTGTAATTGAAAATTAATTTTTAGGGGTGGTTTATTATATGAACGAAATTGTAAAATTTTTGTCTTTTTTAAGGTTTATTTCTAGATTATGGCTATCAAGCCAATGAGTGACATTATGAAGTGTATCATAGATAACGGCTTCAGAGCTAAAGTTGTCGTTACTTTTTATAAGTATTGACAAATCATCTGCAAATAATACTGGCAGTGTTGATTCTCTATACAAACACTTTGGCAGGTCATTTACATAAATAAGAAACAGCACACACCTAAAACGCAGCCCTGTGGGATTGAACTAGTTAGGTGTTTCTCTTCAGAATGAACTTTTATTACTTCATTTGTAATTTGGTTGTAGTGTTCAATTTCTACTATTTGCTTCCGATTATTTAAATAGGATTTAAACCAGTTATGTACTAGCCCACGGATACACGAATTCATGTTTTAAAAGTAATTTATCATAGGGCACCCTTTTTTTTTAACATGGGGAAATGCCTACGCATACCCGCCTCGCGGGGGCGAGGACGGGTTATGTCGGACTCGCACCGACTAAAACCCCATGGTGTTCCACCTTCGTCGCATATTGGCAGGGCTACGGGAACGCTTTCGCACACTGCCGCGGCCCTACCAGCGACTGCCGCCCCATAGCAGCACCTCCTCGGGAGAGGAATATTCCTCCCCGTTCTCCTTCCCAAGTAAAGCGCACCAGAACACATGGCACGCCTTCCTCCACGGCCTCCAATTGCATCTGCGCAACAGACGCCCCCCGCGTTCGACGCGCGAAGGCCATGGGGCCAGGAAAAACGAGCACTTAGAAGTACTAGTCTTCCCGACCCCAGCGGCGGATCTGGTCTATGGCTCCGCCGCCAACCAAGATTCGGCTGCGGAGGATAGGGAGAGCGGCGCCTCGCAATACCGACAATCCTCTCCCCCCGCAGCCCCATCACCACCGCATCAACGGTGCGGCCCCGTTTGAGTCGCGGAGGATAGGGCGAGTGGCGCATCGCCATACCAACACTCCTCTTCCTCTGCGACTCCACCTCGGCTGCAGCGGTAGAGGGTGCGGAGTCCCCACTCGCTGCAGTCCACCAGCACACATCCGAAGTGGGCTCCCCAAGCCCACTCGAAGTGGCCACCTCAGGCCGGCCCTTCACCTCAGGCCAGCCAAGTGGGTTCCTCTTTGTTCACCGTGGGAGACCAAGCCACGACTACTAAGCCCCCCCGCCACGACAAGGAACCCGTTCGGGGGGGGATCGTAGGGCACCCTGTCATATGCTTTCGTCATATCAAGTAAAATACCAAAAGTATGTTTTTTATCATTTAAATTTTGTAGCGCCAATTGTATTAACTTATATACAGCTAGGGTGGTTGATCTTGATTTTCTGAATCCATTTTGGCTATCATCTAATATTTCATACTTTTCAAGGAATGAGTAGAGTCTATTACACATTGCTTTTTCGTATATCTTTGAAAAGGTAGGCAATAGGGCTATTGGTCTGTAGTTGCTAGGGTTTTTTTATCTTCTTCTTTGTGCAACGGTTTTATTAGTGCTATTTTGAGAGGGTCTGGAAATATGCCATGTTGAAAACTTTGGTTTACTAAAAAAAGTAATGGGGGGGAGAGATAGACAAATTCTTCAGTGCATTGTTTTAAAAGCGCCGGTGGTATATCATCTACACCACAGCTATATTTAGTTTTTAATTTTCTTATACTATTTTGGATTTCCCTTTCATCAACTGAGGTTAGGTACATGGAGCATGTCGCTTTCAATTCGACAGAAATTTTATTTTGTTTCTGATTTTTATTAATATTATTGGTTTTACCAATTGCTGCAAAATGTTCATTATATAGATTAGAAATTTGAATGGGACACGTTATTGTGTTATTATTATTATTTAACATCATGTTTTTTGCGTTTTTTTTTTGTTTTCATTCTAGCCAATTTATTATTAATTATGTTCCACATGGTCTTTATTTTATTACTCGAATTTTTCATTTGTTTAATGTATTGTAGTTTTTTTTGATAATTTGATACTACGTTTAAGAATTTTTGTGTATTTTTATAATAATTAAGAAAAACTGGACTTTTTGTTTCATTAAGGATTATTCTTAAAAGTCTTTCATGCTTACAAGATTTTTTTAATCCAGTTGTCAACCAGCCTTTATTTTTTGTTCTTTTATTTTTACTTTCATCATAGGTATATGTTCGTTTAAACTATTTGTTATTATTTTAAGAAAAATATTGTAGTTGTCATTTACAGTTTGGTTCTCTTTTAGAATATTATTCCAATCGAAGTTATTTAATGAGTTTTTGAATGAATTAATGTTTTGTTTTGTAAAACACCTTTTTCTTGTAAATAACACTTGCTTTTTGCTCATCGCCGTCTCTAAATTTAATTCTAGATTCGTTGCTTTATGATCTGATAAACTGTAATCAATAACATAGCAATTTTTTACTAAAGATATATAGTTTGTAAAGATTAGATCAATACAGGTGGCTGTTTTATTTGTGACTCGGGTGGGTTCTCTTATAAGTTGAGCTAAATTATGAGAAGGCATT